GACTTTTAATTTCCTGCTAAGCTTAATTTTTGCTGTATGTTCCATAGATTTGGTATTAAATGTACTCCCTTTGCTTTCGAAATAGTTTTGATTGCCTCTTTGATATAAGAATTATTTAGCCCAGCCAGCATGGTTCAGTGGTTGAGCAGCAACACATGAACCAGAAGGTCATGGTTCGATTCCCGGTCAGGGCACATGCCCAAATTGCAGGCTCAATCCCCAGTGTGGGGCGTACAGGAGGCAGCTGATCAATGATTCTCTCTCTTCACTAATGTTTCTCTCTCTCTCTCTACCTTCCTCTATAAAATTAATTTAAATATCTATTTTTTAAAAAGAATTATTTAGAAGTGTTTCTTAATTTTTAAGAACCTAAAGAATGTTTAGTCCTTTTATTAGTACTAATTTTATTGGATTAAGTTCAGATGACAAGGTCCATAAAATCTCCATTTTTTTCAGTTTGTTAATGTTGTCTTTGTTGCAAGGGCATAACTAATTTTTATAAATGTTCAACAGACTAAAAGGAAAAAATTCTTATGAAAGAGTTACAAGTTTTTCTATTAATCTTTTTTAGTTTGTTGATTGTATTGTTCAAATATTCTATGATCTTACATATTTATTTTGAAAAATGTTTATTAAAAACTGCTATTTTTAACATGATCTCACTCATTCATGGATAATAGAGCCCATTATAAACTTTTGAACAATAATAGATACAGAGGCAGAGCTGCCTCAAACAGATTGTCAAACTGCAGTGGGAAGGCCGGGGAGGGTTGGGGGGGCAGGAGGGAGGGGGGTAAGAGATCAACCAAAGGACTTGTATGCATGCATATAAGCATAACCAATGGACATAAGACACTGGGGGATAGGGGAGTCTAGGGGACTGTCTAGGGCGGGGGGAAAAATGGACACATATGTAATACCCTTTGTAATACTTTAAGCAATAAAAAAAAAAACACTGCTATTTTTAGATTTGTTTAATTGTGGGAAAGAGCATATGTTCAGGAAAAAGTATCAAAAACAAAATAGGCCGAAACTGGTTTGGCTCAGTGGATAGAGCGTCGGCCTGCGGACTGAAAGGTCCCAGGTTCGATGCCGGTCAAGGGCATGTACCTGGGTTGCGGGCACATCCCCAGTAGGAGATGTGCAGGAGGCAGCTAATCAATGTCTCTCTCTCATCGATGTTTCTGACTCTCTCTCTCCTTCTCTCTCCCCCTTCCTCTCTGTAAAAAATCAATAAAATATATTTTTTAAAAAAACAAACTAGATTGCAAGGAATGAGAAAATAAAATTTCACCTTATGAAAATCCATGACATAAAAAATACCAGTTTTTATGCTAACCAAAAATGTATCTATTACAGGAAAACTTCTATAGGAAATTTTGCTTCCTTAGATTTTCTTTTTGTTGCTGAATAAATGCTTACTTTGATGCAGTTTAGTAAATAAGTACAATATATTCTAACTGAGGCAACTATTTTGCCAAGAAATTGCACTTACTTTGGTTGGGAGAGTGCTCTGTCGGGGTTTCTGTATCAAAATGTGGACTTGAAGAAGAATAAAGAATTCCTTTATTGTTATTCTCCCATCTTTGAGTTTCTGAGGGAAGAAAAAAAAAGTTTGCATAACCATGTAAGGCAGTGGTTCTCAACCTTCCTAATGTTGTGACCCCCAACCATAACATTATTTTCGTTGCTACTTCATAACTGTAATTTTGCTACTGTTATGAATCTTAATGTAAATATCTGATATGCAGGATGTATTTTTGTTACAAATTGAACATAATTAAAGCATAGTAATTAATCACAAAAACAATATGTAATTTATATATGTGTTTTCTGATGGTCTTAGGCGACACCTGTGAAAGGGTCGTTCGACCCCAAAGGGGTCGCAACCCACAGGTTGAGAACCGCTGATTTAAGGTGAGCTCATTTTGATTTTAATCACCTCATTTGTTTCTAAACAGCTTAAAGTATTTTGCATATATTTGTGGAATACTATCCAGCTATTTGTAAGCTGTACATGAACAGATTTTATCTAAAATTTATTTCTTAAGGTTATTCAATAACAGTAGAATTGGGAAAAAATAACAAAACCGAGTTCTTCTAATCATTATTTCTACTTCATATTCATATAATTAACTGCCATGTTGGGTCAACAGAGAAAAGAAAACTCCTCTTCTATATATTTAAAACATTTAATAACCTGGCTGGTATATTCAGTGGCTAGAGTGTCGACCCTCAGACTAAAGGGTCTCAGGTTCGATTCCATCAAGGGCACATAACTTGGTTGCAGGTTTGAGAAGCAACCAATTTAATGTCTCTCTCAGTCGATGTTTCTCTCTCTTTCCCTCCTCCCTCCCTTCCACTGTCTCTAAATATCAATGGGAAAAATATCCTCAGGTGAGGATTAAAAATAAATGAACATTTCATAATTTTTTAAAAATTAAAAAAGAAAAAACAAAACTAGGAAATTAGTTGCATTAGAAATGAGAAATACTTAACATACCTCCTTCAAGCTCTCTTCACAATCAGCGTCTGTGAGAAACTGTGGTTCCATTTGACTATTGCGGTATGCTGGAAAGTAAGGCATTCAGGTGATGAACAAGTCAAAATTAAACTGTAAACTTAATTTTTTAGTTATCAATTAGGTGTATGTTAGGTTCATGCTTTTGAAGCTATCCATTAGGATCTTGTTGGGAAGACAGTCATTTGTAGGGCAAAGTATATTACAGTTTTAAAGCTCATTCAATGTTTCTCTACTGAGTTTATAAGCCTCTTAAGGAAATCACTACCCCATGTTGTATTTCACTTCTCCATTTATTAAAATAACTAAGAATTAAATATGAAGTATTATTTTATTTATAAACTACTTATATCCCCCCAAAAGCTTACACAAATTTCAAACATCTCTGAATTGAAATAAAGTTTTTATTAGTCAAGTCAATAAATAACTTCTATTAAAATTAACTTTCATGAACATCATCTTACTGCTGAAGTCCAGAGAAGTCCCATCAGCCTTGATTGAATCCAGAGAACTGCTACAACTAGATGGGGTCCTGCCCAGGCTTTTTATCAATACACTGTTAGCATTTTTATCTGTATCTCCTTCAGCATGATAAAAAGTCTGAAATTATCAATTAAGAAACAACATCAGGATAAAGGTATAACACTGTACACTTATAATGACTGTTTGTTGAACAGTAACAGAAATACTTCTAACATAAAATTTACGTATAATATAATGCTTATGAGATCCCTTAGCAAAGAATTCAAATAATTAATATAAAACTAAAGCCTTTAGAGTTAAAAGTAATTTTATTTTAAAATACAAAGAACTAACTTTTTGCAATACACTGTATAAACAAATTATTTCTCAGCTGTATCTAAGTTATAGCTAGATCCTATGAGCTACCAAATGTTGACCTACCCAATTATTCAACTACTAGCCAACAGAGTCAGGTCTACCACACTACAGAAAACCAGAACAGAATACTGGCTGTACAAGGTAGTCCTGGCTAGTGTATAGAAAATAAACATTTCCAGGCTTCAGTGCTTTCTACACTTGATGACCAAGACTCATTTGGCTGAAGTCAAATACAGTGTAAATCATGTGGTCCTGTTTCTATCATTTTAATCATTTGATTTTACAGCCTTAAATGTCATTTTCATCTGCCTACTTACATATATTTTTGAGGACATTATATTCTTTGTCTAAATGCTAGAATGTAAGTTCCATGAGAGGAGATTCTTGTCTATCAATTCCCACTGAGGCATTCCTAGCAACCTAAACAGTACCTAGGATATGGCTGATATTCAATATTGAACAAAATAGTACTAATTTTCATAGAATCTATTCAGTTATCTATATATATAAAAGCCCAGCAACTGGAATGGCGGAATGACCAGAACGACTGGTGGCTATGACACACACTACGGCAGCCAACCAGCCTGATCAAGGGCCCGATCGGCCCCCCACAATCCCCAGCTGGCTCTACCCCTCATCAGCCCCCAACACCCAGATCGGGGGCGGGGCTGGCCAGCCAACCATATGTGGCCTCTCCCCCCCAGCCAGCCCAATTGGAGCAGGCCCGCCAGATCCCACCCATGCACAAATTTGTGCACCAGGCCTATAGTACATTTTATATTACTGCTAGTACTTTCTCAAAACTTCATAGACAAACCATTTCCTCAACACCTCCTCTCATAGAACCACTGAAATCACCTTCTAAGCTTACATATTTCTTAAGAGTTTAAACTTTGTTTTCTATGAACCTCCAATCTATTTTTTTTCAATATATATTTTATTGATTTTTTACAGAGAGGAAGGGAGAGGGATAGAGAGTTAGAAACATCGATGAGAGAGAAACAACGATCTGCCTCTGCACACTCCCCACTGGGGATGTGCCCGCAACCAAGGTACATGCCCTTGACCGGAATGGAAACTGGGACCCTTGAGTCCGCAGGTCAATGCTCTATCCACTGAGCCAAACCAGTTAGGGCTAACCTCCAATATTTTTAATCTTTATCTCTCCAGCTATAAAACTCAGTTTGAGTGACAGGTTATTCAAATCAGTGTCCCTCAGCTTTAATATTTACGACTTTCTTTCATAAATACAAAATCTCACTTACTTCACTTTGAGATACTGGACTTGACCTAGGTATTTCCCCATCCACTAAAGATATGTACTTTCAGTTTCTACATATCCTCATTTGCCAAGAAATTCTGTCAAGCTTTTCTTTATGCATAATAAAGACTTTTTACCCTCCCAAGTATTTATAACACTGAAGATGACTTTTAAAATTACATGTAGCCCTAGCTGGTTTGGCTCAGTGGATAGAGTATTGGCCTGTGGACTAAAGGGTCCTGGGTTTGATTCTGGTCAAGGGCACATGCCCAGATTACCAGCTTGATACCCAGTAGGGGGCATGCAGGAGGCAGCCAATCAATGCTTCTCTCTGATCATTGATGTTTCTAGCTCCCTCTCCCTTCCTCTCTGAAATCAATAAAAACAATTAATTAAAATTACATATACCCTGCCTAGAAATCGTCATATGCAAAACCACAACAAATCACCAAAGGTGACAGAATATTTAGAATTACACAATTTCAACATTAACTTTTGTAATACTTTCCATTTCATTTTTTGTGACCATTTGTCACTTCAAATAATTTTTAAGGCTCTAACCAGTTTGGCTCAGTGGACAGAGCATCGGCCTGCGGACTCAAGGGTCCCAGGTTCGATTCTGGTCAAGAGCATGTACCTTGATTGTGGGCACATCCCTAGTAGGAGGTGTGCAGGAGGCAGCTGATCGATGTTTCTCTCCCATCAATGTTTCTAACTCTCTATCCCTCTCCCTTCCTCCCTGTAAAAAAATCAATAAAATATATTTTTTAAAAAATCATTTTTAAGTCCGTTTATTAATTCCTTAAGATTCTACAAAGAAATGTTTCTTCAGCCCCATAACTAAGAATAATAAGTTCCTGCTTATCCAAGACTAAAATTAAAATTCAAGAATACTCATAATTTTTAAAAAATCAAGAACATTCCTCAGTTCAAGACAGAGCTCACCTGCTGATCTTGTGTGGTATCACTAAACTTAATCTCACTTTTTCTGATTTTTTTCTCATTCTGAGAATCATCATCTTCTTCTTGTACCCAGGTTCTTTTCTGGCTATTGCAGGTTTCTTTCATTTTATTTTCAGATGGTGAAATCTCTTCCTGGTATGTCTCCATCAAAGACTTTCCCTCAGTTTCTATGATAATAGAGTCTGAGGAATTAATCTCACCTGGATATATAGGAAGATTTTCCTCATTTATATATTGAGATGGACTTGAGTTCAGTTTAGCTGCAATAAATCCAATGCCTGAATCCTTACTGGAGACTGGCTGAGTTTCTAAGTTACTTAAATCAGTTGTATTTGAGGGAATCTGTTCCAGGTCATCTATACCAGTGACACTACAATTTCTCTTGTTTGGCAATCTGGGCAAAAATATTCCTAAAGAACATCTCCTTATTTTATCTTTTACAACTGGTACTGAGTTGGTTTCAGCTCCATTATGAAAAATTTTATTTTCTTCATCTCTATCATCTTTAACATTGTTGGACACTGTGTTAATATTATTTCTTTCTGTAGCTTGCACTATACTCATATCACTGTCTGCCTTATTTACTAACTCAAGTAGTTGTTCTGGAAAAGGTGATATATGAAAAGCTTGGATATCTAAAAATTCTTCAGTTTTCCCATTCAAATTATTCAGATTTTGTTTGCCACTACTAAAACTTGCAGCATTAGATGCAATTACAGGATTTGATGTTTCTTTAGGCTTGGCATGAGTTTGAATAACATGCTTAGTCAAGTCTGAGTTACTCTGGAAATCTATGACTGTATTACATTTAGCAGTTTGGATATTTTTCTCCAGTTCTTTTTCACAGGCTACAGTCAACTGTTTCTCATTATTGAGCACTTTGGACTCATTTTCACATCTGGGTACAGAGGAATTTCTTAGAATATTTAAATTCTTACTTGCAGCTTGAGACAATATTGCTTCACCTTTATTAACAATACTCTGTCCTTGTTGAGGTAATGGAGATAGCTGAGCTGAGAGATGAAGTGGGGAATCAACACAAACATCATCAACAAAGGTCTGCTTTAAACTATGTTCTGTATTATGAACAAAGTCCTCCATTTGATCCTCTGGAAACTTAAAAGATACTTGCTTTGAATCAAGTTTAGTCATGTTTCCCAAATCCTGACCATATACTAAAGTTTGATTAGCTAATAGATTTGGGGACTCCTTAATCAGATCTTGATCTTTGAGCACTGTTATGACACAGTCATTTAGCTGTCCTTGGATATTCGTTTGAATAACTTTTTCCTTCTCTAACACAGAACAAGGAGCAGAGAGAGGCAGTGCCTCAGATTTCAAGTAATATTCACTGGCTAAATCATTTGCATAAGCAAGATCATTTTGCACTGGGCAATTACTGGCTTTCTCATCTTTATCACATAAGGACATGACATTCCCCTCCAAATTATCAACACAGGAAATAACATTTGGTGGAAAGGAATAATTGTCGCTGGATCCACAAATAGCAGGTGCATGATTGTTTGTAAAATCCACATTTCTTCTACCTGTGCTATTTAAGTGGCAGCTTTCAAGTTTGGCTTTTTCCAATGTAGAGGCCTTATCTACAACTTTTGCCATGACCTTTTCATCGACAGCAGTACTATGGAATTTGATGATTTCTATCTGAGCTTGATCCCCAGACAATGTATTAGAACAGGGTATCACATGGTGCTCTTGCTCAGTCTGAAGAACAATTTTGTTTTCTATAGCCTGTGCTTGTTGTTTAGTGATTTCTTGAACAGAGCTTCCATCCTTAGGAAAAGAAACACCCAAGGTTTTTCTTTTTACTATTCCAAATTTAGGGCACTCTTGAAGTATTTTTTCTGTGGCTTGACAATCAATGAAAGCAGTATTGGACTTGGTGACTTCCAGATCACTGTGATTATCTATAAACAATACAGTATTGTCCATTGGCCTAGTGGTTATTTTGACTGGTGAGACAGTTTTATATTCTAAGGCAGTTGTGTGAATTCTAGTGATCTCCATGTCATCCTGCCCACATGTATACAAAACAGTTTTAGAAGTTCCTGCCAAAGGCACCAACAGAGAATCTTTTCTATCTTCTAGGGCATTTTTGTTATTTATTTCCATTGTACAACTCTGGATGAT